CGCTAAGTGAGATGCGGTATCATACGCAGAATGACAAACCCTGCATGATCTCACGTCTATGTGAGATCTAGGAGGAAAAAAAAAAGAGCTCACAGCTACAGAGAACAGAGCGGTGGTCGCCAGAGGTGGTTCTGGGGGCATGGAGAATCGGGTGAAGGGGGTCAGGAAGTCCAAACTTTCGGTTATGAGATACGTGGGTCCCGGGGACATAACCATGGTCCCAGGTGACCATGCGCGCTGCATCTCAGTCGTGTCTGACTCTTTTGCAACCCCATGGGCTGTAGCCCGCCAGGCTCCTCTGTCCATGGGATTCTCCAGCAAGAATACTGGAGTGGGTAGCCATTCCCTTCTCCAGGGGATCTTCCCCACCCAGGGATCAAACCCATGTCTCTTGCATCTCCTACACTGGTAGGCAGATTCTTTACCACTGCGGCCCCTGGGAAGCCCACAGTTGACAACACTGTACCGTATATTTCGGTCTCTGGCCATACCATCTGAATGCACCCGATCTCATCTGTACTGCGTATCTGAAGGTTGCTGAGAGAGTTTAACTGTATGTGACTCAAATCGTTATGGTGTACAGCTGAAACTAACACAAGGTTATATGTCAATTATACCTCAATAAACTGGAAAAAACCGTAATAAATGAACTGCCCGCGCCTGGCACCTTAGCATTCAGAGGTAGCTGTCAAAATCACCGCGTTTCCTCGTGTGCAGAACGAGATGGTGCAATGGTGAGAGTCAACAGCAGGGTGCGACCCGCCCAGCACCCACCATGAGCCATGGGGTGGGGCTTCGGCCCGAATCTCCCGAGCAAGCACACACTCCACGTGTCTGGCGCCGGCCTCCAGCCAGGCCCTGTAACGGGCCACTCCTCAGCCCTGCACCTCGGTCCAGGCTGTGCAGAAGCTCTGCTTCCTCTGCACAGGCAGGCAAGCGGCGGATGAGCCAGAGACGGGTGGGGCTGCGTTTCTCCTCGCCGGGGCCACCTTCTACTCCTCACTAACGGATACGTCGTTCAGGGGACAGGCAACAAAGAAACACGCAGTTTTTTGGCAAGTAATAGTTAATCATATCTACATCCTGAAGGAAACAGCATTGGAACAAAACAGTAACTTGATCCCAAAATAATATTCCACGTGGCTGGCTTCCCATTTCTCACCAGACACAGTGACCCCAGTGAAGAACCTCCATGTGAACCCCAGATGGAAGAGAAGCTGACAAAACACACACCTAATGATCACATGGCAGACACAGCCCCCCACGCATGGCACCCACGGAACAGCAGGCCCTCACCCGGGCTCCTGATCCCGGCGACGTCATCTTTGGCCAAACTGGTGAGCGCACAGCGCTCTCAGTGAGGAGAAGCCCGTCGGATCTATGTTAGCCACAGAGCAAGAGAGCCCAGAAAACCTGTACATGTTAAAATGGGGTGCAGACCACTTCCATTTCCTGCCCCGCTCTACTCAGTCTGGGGTGGGGAGGACACCCAGGGCTGGCCCTGTGGGGAACCCCCACATCTGCAGGGCTGAAGTTGGCACAGAGCTCCCGGGGGCTCCCCAGAGACCGCTCTCCCCAGAGAACTTTCTGACTTCTTTTCAGTGTGCTCATCCTTGGCACCTGGATCTGGGGAGAAGACTCACCTCTCGCCTCCTAGCTGAGCACCTACTGCCTGAAGGAAAGGCGTTCCCTCTTTCCACATCCCACATCTAAAGTACAGGAAAAACTCAGAATGGTGAGTTTAAACATCGGAGTATCGTCTGGAGTAGCATCTGGAGCCAGAGACTCATGCTGCGCTGGTGAGCGGCCCCCAGAAGGACCAGCGGCTCTAAACAGGCCCCTCCTCCCCCAGGTAGGACTCTGACCAAAGAGATGCTGTTCGCTGTCAAGGGCACCGCCTGGAACAGGATCCAGGGCCAAACCCCAGCCCTGTCCCCAGCAGACACGCGACCTTGACAGCCGCTCAGCCTTCCTATGCCTCGGTTTCATCAGTAAAATGGGAGTGTGACAAGGGCCACTCCTTGAAGCGTTGAAACAGCGTCTGATGTCCTGGGCCAGCAACCTTCATGCCAGCTGCTGCCACTCTTGCGGCTGCTGACAAAGCAGGCATGGTTCTGCTGTAATGACTGTCACGAGCTTAAATGCAAGTTATCACTCACCAAACCAGGTCTATAAACCAAATGTGGCAAAATCCATTAAACCCAAGAACGTTACAGTCTCCCAAGGCAGCAGAAACAAAAGACAAAATACATAAATGGGACCTAATCAAATTTATAAGCTTTTGCACAGCAAAGGAGACCATAAGCAAAACAAAAACACAACCTACACAATGGGAGAAAAATATTTACAAATGACGCAACTGACAAGGGCCTGATTTCCAAAATATACAGACAGCTCATACACCTCAACATCAAGAAAATAACCCAATCGAAATATGGGCAGAGAGTCTAAACAGAAATTTCTGCAAAGAGAACACGTGCTGTGTGCTGTGCTCGCTCACTCGGCTGGGTCCAGCTCTTCGAAAAGGTACATGCAGGTTAATGTTCATCACAGCACTACTTACAACAGCTAAGACACAGAAGCAATCCAGATGTCCGTAAACAGATAAATGGATAAAGAAGATGTGGTGCCTATAGACGAGGGAATACTACTCAGCCATGAAAAAGAATGAAATAATGGCATTTGCAGTGACATGGATGGACCTGGAGATGATCATACTAAGTGAAGGCAGTCAGAGACATATATCAGATGACATCACTTACATGTGGAATCTGAAATACGATACACATGAACTTATTTACAAAACGGAAATAGACTCACAGACACAGGAAAAAATACATGTGGCTACCAAAAGGGAAAAGGTGGGAAGGGATATATTAGGAATCTGGAATTAGCAGACAAAAACTACTATATGTAAAATACCCAAGGGCCTACTGTACAGCACAGGGAACTGTATATTCAATGTCGGTTGAATAAACCATAATGAAAAAGAATATGAAAAAGAATAAATACATATGTATGTATAACTGAATCACTTTGTCGCACACCAGAAACTAATACGTTGTAAAGCAACTATAATTCAATAAACAATTAAAAAAAAAAAAACAAGACCATAAAGCCTGCGGCGTCTGCTCCTGCTGAGGATCTAGAGATTGGCAGGTGAGCGAAGTTATACTGCGGTTCCTTTCGGTGCTTACAAGGAGTAAGAACTCCAGCCTCTGAAGACCACACATAACCTCTCTGAGTGATAAAAGGACACAATTCCTGCCTATAGTTGCACCCATTCCACACAGCATGTCACTGGGTGACAAGTGAAAGGCTCTAGGCCTAAGAAGTGGCTCCCTGAACCAGCCAGGGCACTGGGACCCCCTGGGTCACCTTCACCCCTCAGAGGAGCCTGCTCAGGCCCAGGGCGCTGCTGTGGCCCCCATCACCCCCCCCCAGGTCCGGTGTAGACAGGGCGGACGCCCGACTGCAGGCCAAGGGAAGAGGAGGCCGTCTCTGGAGGGATGCCTGCCAACCCATCACGGCAGGAAACAGTGGCAGGACCTGGAGGCCGCCCGCTGGGAGGGGGACCAGGGAGGGAGGAGGACCCGAGAGAGAAGGGCAGGTCATCGCCAAGCACTTCCAGCGACACAAGACGCCTCCGTCCCCTAAACAGAGCTCCCACCTCGGCCGCGCCGGGCCACACCTGAGCCAGGCAGAGAGCCGTCCGGCAGACCGGCCTGCATCTGCCTGCCGGACGTGGGGACCTGTCTGAAGGACCCCGTGCGTCCGGGGGTCAGCAGATGCACGCGCTTTGCTTCCCCTTCAGAAGCACGATGCTCACTGGACACTACACGTGACACTTTGGTTCCTGAGAAGCGAACGTCACGCTAGAGACCACGTTGATGCTGCGACCCCCAGCACCCCACTGCATGTCTCCGGTCCTCCCGTGACACCAACGGGCGCTAGACGGATGGGAGGGCGGCTTGCTCAGATAAAGTATCTGAACGTCCAGGTTACTTCAACCTACTGCAAATTCGCTATCATTTTCCAACAAAGAACAGAACTCTGCAAGCAGCTGTCTGCCTGCAGGTTGTAGTGACGTAGGCTATGTACATGCTAAAGGGTCCCAGAGACGGGAGGGTGAACCGGGGCTGGGCGGAAGCCCGTGGGGGCGTGGCAGCACGCAACGCACATGCGTGCTGAGAGGCGTGGCTCCCAGACCGACCCTTCACCCTCCGGCTGTTTCACATGCACAGAGATAGCGAGAAAGAGGCAAGCCCGCCGCCCTCTGAGGGTGCGGGAGAGTGAGGATGCGGGTAGCTGCGCCCCCACCCCACCCCGGCGGAGACCCTCAGGCTCGTCCCTCCCCTGCCCCTGGGTCAACGCTCCGGGAACAGCTGTGGTTCCAGCTTCCTTTCTTGGCTCTGGACTATAATAACTGCTTATTACAGTCTCCATCTACCCACAGTATCATACCTTCTCTGTGAAGGCACTTCCCTGAGTCCACAGCTTGCGGACCATGCACCCATCCCTCTGTGGGCACCCAGACCCCTGGGACACTCACTTCACTGTAGCAGGTGGTCCACGGGCACCCAGACCCCCGGGGACACTCACTCTCATTGTAGCAGGCAGTCCACAGGCACCCAAACCCCCGGGGACACTCACTCTTGTAGCAAGTGGTCCGCCACCACCCAGACCCCTGGGGACACTCACTTCACTGTGGCAGGTGGTCTGTGGGTACCCAGACCCCCAGGGACACTCACTCTTGTAGCAGGTGGTCTGCGGGCACCCAGACCCCCGGGGACACTCACTTCACTGTAGCAGGTAGTCTGCGGGTACCCAGACTCCCAGGGACACTCACTTCACTGTAGCAGGTGGTCTGCGGGCACCCAGACTCCCGGACACACTCACTCTCGTTGTAGCAGGCGGTCCGCGGGCACCCAGACCCCCAGGGACACTCACTTCACTGTAGCAGGTGGTCTGCGGGCACCCAGACCCCTGGGGATACTCACTCTTGTTGTAGCAGGTGGCCAGCACGCCTTTGTCTGCGGGGCTGGCACTAATGTGCCAGATCTCCCCCGCCTGATGCAGGAGCACATTTTTATTGATAATGTTGTTCTCGTCGTCAAAGTCTATGACGTGGATCTACAGACACAAGGAAAGAGCCAGTCATTAGCTCACACACTTCCCATTTGCCTTCACAGGTCAGAGACTAACAGGAGAACCAAACGCACTTTGGACACCTTTACCAGTTCCATGCTGCACTAACAGCGTTCACTTCTACACGCGCATCTCACTCTATGCCTCTCAAAAGACAAGTGGGAAATCCCTGCAAAGTATAAGCCTGCGAGCACAGAACCTTGCCCCGCACGCCCAGTCCTCCAGACGAGACACCAAAGGCTCCGTCCCCCACCCCACACGTGGCGCAGTCAGGCCGTGGCGGGTGTCAGGGCCAGAGTCTGCAGGAAGGGGCCGCCTGCCGCGACCAGCCCAGGCCTGCGGCTCGGCTAAGCGGGGCAGGGCGCTGCTGCCTGCCAAGGACCAGGCTTAGACCCGATCAGCCCCCTCCGCAGTGGACACAACTCATGTTGGAAGCAGCCAAGGACGGAAGGGGTGAGAGAGTGCCACACGTCAGGTCAGCCCCTCTTAAAACGCTTCCTAAAAACAAGGCCAGGACTTCCCTGGTGGTCCAGTGGCTAAGACTCCATGCTCCCAATGCAGGGGGACTGGGTTCAATCCCTGATCAGGGAACTAGATCCCACATGTTGCAACTAAGACCCTGTGCAGACAAAATAAATAAAAATAAATAGTCTTAAAAAAAAAAAAAACAAGGCCGACCGCCACCAACCCCTCTGATCATGTAGCAGTGATGACAGCATTGTGTTTCAGCCACTAAGTGAAAAGTTAAACATGCTAGTGCCACGCTCTTCCGGATAATTTCTAGGGGAATGAAAATGATGTTCACATTCACTCTCTTATCAATAATCAAGCTACTGGGGAAAATAAAGTTTACAGTTTTTTAAATCAATTTATACTGATAATCATGGATCTGCACAAAGACCTATATCCAATCAGGAATGGTCGCTGTGGCACTGACCGTCACAATGAAGCATAGAAGCCACCTTTGCGCCTGGCAACGGGGAACTGTTCAGGTCAATCGACTGTAATACAACAGTGTGAGGCCAGCCACTCTTCTCTGAACACTTTCCAGTGCCGGGAAAAGGGTCCATAGCATATACAAGAGGGAAAGGGAGAGGGAAAGTCATTCAGTCGTGTCAGACTCTTTGTGACTCTCCAGGCAAGAATATCAGAGAGAAGCCTTTCCCTTCTCCAGGGGATCTTCCCGACCCAGGAATCAAACGAGGGTCTCCTGCACTGCAGGCGGATTCTTCACCAGCTGAGCTGCAGGGAAGCCCAAGAAGAGAGGGCTGGAGAGGGCAGCCTGTCCCTTCTCCAAGGGACAAAGGAAAAAAGAACCAGTAAAAGAACCGCACAAAGGCTCCACACGCTTTTGGCCAAAAAGTAAGCACACCCCAGTGAGAGAATCAGAAAGTGACTGGTTACCTTTGGGAGATGAAATTATAGAGGCTTTTCATTTACTTCTTTGTGGTTTGGTTTTATTTTTAAATTTTTTTCAAGCACTGTTTTGCAGTCAGAACAAACACTAAAATGCTAATTTAAAAAACGTTTCCATGACACGCGAAGCACCTCCCCCTGCTGGCCCAGGGCCTCTGGCTCTGCCCTTGGCTGCTTCCCTTGTATCACGTTCTCACACGGAGTCGCTCCGTCCCTCAAGGGCCGGCCTGGGCAGAACTCAAAGCCCACCACTGCCCCCTGCAGCCTGTGCGACCCGAGCCGTGTATGCCGAGAGTGCTGGGACCACGCGGCCAGGCAGAAGCCACCCTTCTCCGGGGGCAGTGAGGAGATTAAACACCACCAATACTGTTTTTAATCTTTGGGACGATTTTCGGTCAGTTTCTCCAGCACTCATGGCCCAGTGGAGTTTTCGCAGTGGGTTTGGAAATACTCCGGGTGGACATAAAGTTTATAACAGTCAGATGGGAACACAGACTAAATGGCAATACACAAACTCGGGAACCATTTCTGTGTTGTTAGAGTGAGCAAGAATCTTCTTCCTAAGTATCTGACACGTTTCCGCCTTACCAGACATCTGTGAGTGCTGAGAAAAGGATGCGCTGAGCTGTCCTCCTTGGCCGGGAGCACCGTCAGGACAGCCACATGGGGAGCACAGGAGCGCTGGCTTCTGGGTCCTCCTTTGGGGCTGCGAGCCCGGGGGCGTGCACACCCTCCCCTGCACACAGGCGGCTCCTGGCTGGGGAGCCGTCCCTCCAGCCTGATCTCTCCCCGCACTTCCCGCTGCCGCAGAGTCCCCGCTCCCGCCTGGGGAAGGAGCCTCTTTCCTGTGAGGACGAGAAGGCAGGGAGTCCAGCCAGGCTCTGGTCCGTGGTCCACACGGGTCTTCCTCCAGCCCATTACGTAGGTGCTCAGCAGGTAAACGTCAGCCTTCGCCCTCCACGGCAGGGGTGGGGAGGAGTCCATGACCCCAGGTCCACCTCTCTTAATCTGACACTCTATTGACGTGCCCTTTAAGCTTCAGAGTCTAGGCTCTTTCCACACGTCCTCGCCCGCAGCAGGATCACAGACTGGTCCTCGGGACACGACCTCGGGAGATGCTGTCATCAGGCACGCTCGGGCAGGGCAGGGGACATCAGCACCACCGACAAGCAGGGGTCAAAGGAACGGCGACTGATACACCGCAGACACTTGAGCTATTTGTGCCACGCTGGCTCCTTTAATCCTGAAGAGAGCTCGATGATGACAGGGTGATGTATCATTACTAGCCACGGTTACAGGGGAAGAAACTGGGGCTGACAAAGTTGGAGCAGCGTGGCTCGTTCCAGAGCAAGTGCCGTGAACGCCCCCGTGGGGGCACAGGAGGTGCCCACCCGCCACAACACGGGGCTCCGCACCACAGCAGGTCAGGAGAGGGCCAGGCGGCCCCGCATCCCGGGGGAGAGGCTGTGACCCAGGTGCCTGCGCTGCTCACGCCAAGTGCACACGCGTTGACACGTGCAGCTGCAGGCCAGTTACAGAACGAGTTACGTCACGGAGAAAACACTGCGGTTGGGGTGAGGGCAGAAGACGCCGGGGACGCGGAGCGCGGAGCGATGCGTGCTGGCTGCGAGGGGGGACGTGCGTGCCCGGCCGGGCAGTGTGCAGGTGTCACTGGAGGTCCTCACGCCCCTGCTGAGCTTCTCCAATGCTTTTAAATGGCTCAGAATGGAGCTCAACGGCTCCCCTGAACGCTCAGCTGGGAAAGAATCCGCCTGCAACGTGGAAGACCTGGGTTCAGCCCCTGGGTTGGGAAGATCTGCTGGTGAAGAGGACGGCTCCCCGCTCCAGTGTTCTGGCCTGGGGAATCCCACGGACTGTGTGGTCCACGGGGCTGCAAAGAGTCCGACACGACTGAGCGATTTTCACTTTCAATGAAGCTCAAACTCATATTTTGAATTACCATTATTAAAATTTTAAAGCTGGACTTAGCAGTGCAGGGCTAAGGGTGTAGACAGCACTCTATAAGAGTTTAGGAGCCGGGGTGATCAAACTTACTAGGAAGCCTGTAAAGGTGCTCTTAATCAAGGCCGCTTGTGTTCTCACAAAATCAGGGCTCAGAGAAAACGGCCCCCGTCCTAAGAGCAAGCACATGACCCCAGGCCGACACACTCTGTCAGTTTCATCTCTTACCGAACTCAGTAAACTCGAAAATTCAGCGGGAAAAAAAAATGTGGCAAAATTGGAAACTAAAAAGTGAAAGCCCCCCCTAGGAAAAGTAGAGCCCCAGCATCTCCCCGTGACAAGCCCTCCTGGCACCAACGGCGGCCCTCCATGGGGCCGCTGGGCGAGAAGCTCCAGCTCAGCCGCCCCCAGCAGACGCCACGGCCTCCCCGCCGGCGCGCCCTGCCTCTCGTCCAGATCCAAAGCCAGCCATGCAGCCGGCAGCTCGGGGCGGCGACGCCTCAGGCAGGCAGGCAGGCTCATGCTGCGGTGATTCCAGGCGCTGCGCCCCACGGCGCCTCGCAGTTCCCAACCGCAGGTCTGGGGCAGCCCCGCCCCAGCAGGGCTAGTGGGGGCCCTTCTGCAGCGGCGCCTGCTCACTCCCCGTCTCTGTCCCTTTCTGGGGACTCTCACATCTCCACCCTTCTGCCAGCCAGGAGATTCACCTTGTGAGGCTCCATCCTCACGGCCCCAGCGCCTTCCAGAGGGTCCCCTCCTACCTCCATCACGTCGGGGTTGGCTCCCATGTGCAGGTTTGCGGGGGGACACAGCATTCAGCCCACTGTGAGGGGACACGTGGTCAAGGGCCAGGGAAAAGCTAGGGTGTGAGCCGGGTCAGGGGGACAGTCGGCCAGCTCACTCCTCGTGACCTCACGTACAAGCTAGAAACACACGCAGAACTGCTTCAAAAAGGACACACAGGACGCGATCAACACGGCGAGACCAGGACCCCAGACCACAAAGAGGGGAGCGACTCCTGGGAGTGAGATGGGAGGACGGGGTGGGGGGGCAGGTGCACATGGGGTGGGTTGGAGGCGCAGCCCTGAAAGGGCTTCACGGAGACCCCACCGTGGTCGGCCTGGCGCTCCTCAATGGGATGAGCATCGCGCAGGTGGCCTCTGCAGGGAAAGCCTGGTGCAGAAGCAAACAAACCCCCACGCTGCAAAAACCCAGCTCCCACCCGGAGGAGCAGCTCCCCGGGAGAAGGCGTGCCCCCGACAGGAGGTTCCAGGGCGGCCTGACCAGGTCTGAGCGCAGGCAGGGCCCCGGGCGACACTGCAGGCACAGAACACAGAGCAGCTTGTCAGGCACAGGGCAGCCCACAACTGTGACAGCCCCGGAAACGGTCAGGGAAAAGAGCCGAGCTGAATTCAGCAGCACAAACTCCAGCACCGGGCACTTCCCCGGGAATCGCCAGCTGCGGGGAGGTGCTGACAGCCTGAGGCGAAGCCCAGGGCCAGAGACCCCGCCAGCAGCCCCCCTTCCCAGGAAGGGCCCAGCCTGGGCGGGGGCGGGGCAGGGGGCTTCCAGGCGGGCTGGGGGTCGCGCAACGCCACGGCCGCTGCCACAGCTGCAGGGCAGGCGGGCTTGGCCCTGGGGCCGCCCGGACAGCAAACCTCAGCAGCTGAGCTTCATAGTCACGGCAGGTGTGGGGGGCGGGGAGACAGGGTGCTTAGCGGCCACCTCGCCACGTCCCAGCCGGGCCCTGGGAGGAACCACATGGCTGCTCAGGGCCAAGTCTTCTGTTTGGAGATGGGGCCAGGGCACCTGCCCACCCCACACACCCCCGGTACCTGTCCAGCCGCCGGTCCCCCCGTGTCCCCGGCCAGGGCCAGGTGTCACCGCCTCTCTCTCTCACCAGCTCGTGGCTGCAGGCGGCTGCGAGCGCTCCCTGGAGGGGGATGCACACAGCACTCACACGGGGACACAGGGAGGCCCCCGGACGCCCTCGCTGTGGGAAGCAAGGCAGGACTGGGAAGGGGGCAGGGACAGTCAGGGAGGAGGGCGTGCCATCTTAAAACACAAGCGGTTCGACCCTGGTTGGGGAGCTCACATGCAGCCAGAAAAAAAGAAATAAAAACTGATGTTCTACCAAAGAGGTCAGTGGTACAGGCCCAGAAATGAGGGGCATTGAAAAGTAAGTAGATACGGAAAAGGCAGTTGGTTGGTGCACTGGCTCGGCGCCCGAGCCCCAGCGCCCCCATCACACGCTGCGCTGGCCCTTCCAGAGGCACGTGCGTCCCCGCTGGCACTGCGCGCCTTCCTCCCCCCACACCCCCCAGCAGCCCGGGGCCACTCTCCTCTTGCCTGTGGGACGGCCACGGCGGACTCTTTTTATAAATAAAATCAGCCCCATCTGACATCTTCCAGGACAGCAACACACACACACACTCAGAAAACAGGAAACCATAAGGAAACAATTTACACCATATGCACATCCCCTGAAGATAACCACGGCTCACGTTTGGGCCCTTTCGACCTATTCCTAGTCTTTATTCTATGCAGAGATGCAATTTTGTACTTTATGTACCTTTTTAATATAAAGGCATAGTTGACAGAACATTATATTAGCTTCAAGTATACAGTGGAGTGATTTGATGTTTGTATATATTGCAATTTTTTTTTTTACACACTAGTGATCACGTACTACATACAATCTTAACATCTAAGAATGGCCTGAGAACTTTTCAGCTGTGAAGCTTCTGAGGAGACTCAGCTTTCATGCCTGCAGTGAATGAACACCATTCTGAAAGGAAGGCGATTCAGCCAGGGTAACCACATGGCTGCACCATCACAAACGGCATGTCATGCGTGGCTGCCTCCCGTTTTCTCCCATCCTCTGTACCATACCAATAATGCTCCTTGTATGTAAAGCTTTTTCGATGTTTTCGGTGTACGGAATATAGGTTAAATACTGTGGACATTTAGACTGTGCGAATCTCTAGACCGGTATCACGAGGCCCAGTCACCAGGCCCACATGAAGTCGTGCGTCCGCATAGGAGCGGGGTTCACCACGCCCATCCGCAGGGGGCAGGCCCGCAAGGCGATTGACGCCACCCCCGGGGGGGGGGGGGGGGGNGGGGGGGTGGTCCGGAGGCGGGCAGGCCATGTGGCACCACCTCTCGTGCACTCCCCCAGGGTCGGGCGGGTGAGTCTCTGCAACATCCCGCACCTAAGGACAAGGAAGATGAAGTCCAGCAAGGTTAGTCCATTCGTTCAAGGCCAGACATCTGAGGTCTGGCTGAGGCCAAGCTGAGAACCCAACCTCGTGAGAGCACATCATTCTTCCTACCCTAGAGACAAGCCACACCCTGTGTATCTCCCCCGGGATCACCAGCGGTGACAGCCTAGACTCGATGCTGAGAGGGGATTATGGCCTCGTCCAGCCTCAGCTAGAGTGTGCCGTGAGTCATCAAACCGGTCGTCCAGTGGCCGGGGCCAGAGGGGTGACACTGACCACGTACCCTCGTACCTTCAACCGCTTGCAAGGTGACCCCAGTGCACCCACAAAACACTACACTACGGCTGCAATGATACATAGAATAAGTTTAGATTCCTCTCGCCCAGTCGTTACATACAGCTGGCTATGTAAATCTCAATGAAAGCTCTGCTTTGTTTGGGTGGCATTAATTCTCAAATGCTACTTGAAAAATCGAGAACAAAATAGCTATAAAACTAAGAACAGGCTTGGTAATTAACATGTATACGTTTGTCAGAAATAGTTACCTGATTATCATACTTGAGAGACTGCGTCCCAACCAAAAACCGAATGGCGTCCGTCTCCGCGGTCTGAGGCGTGAGGGCCCGCGCCTGCAGGGGAAGGAGAAGGCACACGTTGGTGGACGCAGAGGACAGACCACGCGGGCAGCCGCCACCTGCACCGTCCTGGGGGAGCCCCGGGGGGCAGAGGGTCCGCCAAAGCTTAGAAACGTGCAGGAGGGGCCCTCGACTCTTGTACGACCTGTAACCCAACTGTGCTTCCGAAGGATCTGGAAACAACTGTCACTGGAAACAAAAATTAAACAGTAAAGATATATAATTTTGTCTTTAACAAAATTATTTACATCATTGACTTGTTTCAACAAATTATTCTTAATAACAGAGCAGAAGATGGTTCCCACTGAGGGCAGAGCAGGTGGTTTGAGGCACATCTCCTGCAGAGCCAACTGGAAAAACTCAACCCAAAACCCTGAGCTTGTTTCAAGGCTTCAGGAAGCTGTTCACTGTCCCTGTGTCTGATCGTGGGTTCTGGCCCTGCCGTGGCCCTGCCGCCTGGCGGATGAAGCTGGACCTTGCAGTTCATGGTCCAGGAGAGGAAGAAGCTGGGAGGGACAGGGGGGGTGCTGACCGCCTGCCCATGGTCACCTGGGCTAAAGGCTTCGCCCCTCGTTCCTCAGACTTCTAGAAGTCCTGCAAGGGCAGGAAGGGCCCTCAAGAGCAGAAACCAACTGTCTTCAGTGAAACGTGGAGACGTCTATAGTCCAAAAGTGCCCGGGAAACACCGTCTCCAAGGTGGGGACGGTCAGCGCTGAGAGAAGATGCTGAGGAAGACGCTGGTGGCCATGCCCCAAGCAAAGCAGGACCGTGGCCGGGGAACCGCCAGAGGGGCCAGCCAGAACAGGGGTCCCCCACACACCGGGGCGCCAACTAGAGCAGGGCAGGGGACCTACTGGCATCTCAGGAGGCGGCTGGAGCTCCGTGGGGCAGAGCGGGGGGCTGCCCTGGGGGCCCCCAGGGGAAACGAGCGCTGCAAAACCCAGAGCCACGAGCACTTGTCGGCCTGAGCCAGACCGGGCTGCCTCCGCCTACAGAGCCCACAGCACGGGAGCTCAGTGAGGAGGGCCAGAGGGAGGACCGGAGGGGAGACCGGAGCTCCGCAAGGAGGACCAGAGCGAGGACCGGAGGGGAGACCGGAGCTCCGCAAGGAGGGCCGGAGGGGAGACCGGAGCTCCGCAAGGAGGGCCGGAGCGAGGGCCGGAGGGGAGACCGGAGCTCCGCAAGGAGGGCCGGAGGGAGGGCCGGAGGGGAGACCGGAGCTCCGCAAGGAGGGCCGGAGGGAAGGCCGGAGGGAGACAAGGGGAAAGGCTTCAGCAGGTGCAAACACCAGGCGGCAGGGCCACGGCAGGGCCACGGCAGGGCCAGAACCCACGATCAGACACAGGGACACTCACAAAACTCGACAGCAAACACCTCCTCAAACAAGAAGGAGAAGAACAGACTGGAGAGGCTCGGCAAGACCACCCAGACAACTGAACCCGAGCTGACATGGCGGGCGGGACCGTGAACCAGACCCCACGCCACGCGCAAGGACAGAAACCCCGAATAGGGAACACACGCAACCTCTGAAGATGCAGCAGGTCTATGAAATGGAACAGCAAGACGGCCTTGAGCTTCAGTCCATCAGGTTAAAAGGCAATGTCCCTGTGCATTGGTTTGGAAGCAGCAGATCCACTGACCGATTGACGACGATTACTGTTAAGTCCTATAAAATCAGCCTACAAAACGGGGGGCGAGGGCGCCTGACCACAGCCATCTTGGGCAGCTGCTCTTCATTGTGGTGACATAAATGCAAGAACTTAGGCACCGGCTCACAAGCATGCAGGACAAGGGGGTGGAAACTCCGGGGAGAGAAACCTGCGCCCTGAGCACCGCTAGTGAGCAAGGCATTAACTGGGGAAGCCAGGACACACACAAGCACTGAATCTAAAACTCACCCTGCTTCCAAGCAGAAATCCTGAAATGCTGGCTAAACATGGCAGAGAACCCTACTTGAATCAGCAGGCAACAAAACATTGTGCAATTAAAAAAAGAGGAAACCTGAGTAAAGATTTGGCAAAAGACTGTGATCAACTGTTGAGAGTCCGACGGGAGACAGGAGAGCGGGGAAAAAACTGAAAATCCTCAGGTGCCACAGTGTCCAGTCACCAGGTCATGTCCGGGAGGGAAGAGCAGGCAGGTCAAGACTAGAAGAAACAGCTTCTGAAACACTGAGAGAGGTTATTCTCACCAGATAAGGTGGAAAGGAAATGTGTGGGGTCTGGTGATTTTAACCAGACTTTCAGTAACTGACTTAAATGACTTGAAAGCACTGAGTGTTTAAAATTTTTTAAACACACAAAAAAGAACAAAAACCATGAACACAAGTCAAAATGCTGCAGAAAGGCGAAGGTGCTCAGCACTCTCTCATTTCACAGCCGCCCACACTGCCCTTCTGCCTCTTACCGGCGCCGCGGTGCCTCATCTTACCCTCCAGACCTCATCACCTTCAGCCAGTGGTCAACATCTTGCTGCACCATCCTGCCGATTACACCAGTTGTCTCCCTGTCCACACTGCTTGCCTAACAGGGCAGGCAGGGGCGAGCGGGGAAGCAGGAGAACCCTCGAGGGGCCGCGGGAGCTGCAAACCGTTTATTCTCCCGACTGGGGCCACAGCCATAGCAGCGCACACGCTGCACTCCCTCCTCTCGGGGCTGACCCGGTGGACACAGACCTAACGCGGCTTCAGGGGCTTTTCAGTGGAGCTTATATACGCTTACAGACAGACGTGGCCGAAGACAGAGTGGCGTGATGCACACACACAGCGCTGTGAGTGATCCCAGCTGTTAGAGAACCACATTTACAGATTGCGGGGCAAGAATGAGAGGCCGTGGGCCAAAAGGGTCTGGCCACAAACCCTCTTGGCCAATGTGCTCCTTCCCCACATTCTACCCCCTCAGGGTCTCTCAGCTCACAATCTGCACACAGTTCATTTTCGTGATGTTTCCTTGGTGAATAACGCTGACCCTTGAACGGACATTCTACAACAGCAGTAGATGCTACAGCAAACAGTTACATCCCCAGTACATAGCACACTCAATGCCAGGTGTCATCTGGAACTCACGTTGCAGTCCTTGCTCTCATGGGGCTAGAAGGGTCACCCACCACACGTGGAGTGACTTTATCTCCATGGCCAAGTCCACTCCGCTGGCTTTCCTTGTGAGGTGGCAGGAAAGCCTCCACAGGTTTTATTGCTGCTGCTGCTAAGTCACTTCAATCGTGTCCGACTCTGTGTGACCCCATAGACGGCAGCCCACCAGACTCCGCCATCCCTGGGATTCTCCAGGCAAGAACACTGGAGTGGGCTGCCATTTCCTTCTCCAATGCATGAAAGTGAAAAGTGAAAGTGGAGTCGCTAGTTGTGTCCGACTCTTAGTGACCACATGGACTGCAGCCCACCAGGCTCCTCCATCCATGGGATTTTCCAGGCAAGAGTGCTGCAGCAGGTTGCCATTGCCTTCTCCGACAGGTTTTATTAAGGACCTTCAAACCTGCCACAGGCGCTGGGCCCTCCCCTTCAAAGAGGGAATCTGTGGCATTCACAGCCCACATACATTATTCCAAATGCTTTCAAACTGTCCTAAATCTGCCAGAGAATTCAGAGGTTAGTAGCACATCACAGACACAGTCTTTACACTACACTGTCCTAAACCTACGTCACAGACAGTCTTTCCACTACACTGTCCTAAACCTCCATCACAGCACACAGCCTTTACTGAGTGCCTCCACACAGGGAGAGATCCGATTTCCAAAGGTAAGGACACAGCCTTTACCGTACAGCTCTGCACGGGGAGCCATCCAATTTAAGGACACAGCCTTTAAGGGCATCAGAAGAAAGGTCTGCAGACACCATGTAATCTTCTAACTGAACTGCCCATATCTTTTGCTGTGGCCCTTCCCAAACCAAGTAAACTGCTGCTCTGGTCTCAGCTGTCTCCATCGCTCTAGGAGCAGAGCAGTGGTCCCTTTATCAGTTTCATTTCTGTCAACTCCCGCTGCCAGCAAATCAGCCCAGATTTGCATCCGCTTTGCCTGCTGCCATCCCTAGACCTTCCCAAGCCTGCCGCCCATGGAGGGAGCAGTTAAGGAGCGGGAAGAGGTGGACGGGGCGTCGTTCGGAGCGGCACCCCGCGTGCTGCCTTCACAACGCCCGCAGTCCCCTGGAGGCTCCTCTGCCTGCCAAGCCAGAGCAGAAGCTTGAGGGCGTGGTGTGGCTGACCCCAAGCGCTGCTCTCCCCATCATCACCCAGGCCCTCCGTGTACTGTCTGCGCGTCACCCACCCCCGAGCGTCCCCTCTGGCTGTCTGCAGGCCCAGGGGACCCTCGGGGCTCCGCAGGCGTGGGTTCAGCAGGCGCTGACCCAGCTCTAAACTCTCCACTGCGGCTGCACTTTCTCTTTTTCTCCGCTGGGGCTGGCCCTGAGTCTGGCTGTTCACTCTGCTGACGACCTCCGCTGTCCCACCACTTCTTGCTATGCACACTGTTCACTGAACCCAGGGCAGGCACAGCACCAGCGGGGAGCCTGCAGAAAAACTCCAGGAGCCCTAAGAACTGCCGACATGCTGATTCTCTCCTGACTGGCGCAGCAGCAGAAACGCTGTGTTCCCTCGGGGCTGACCCAGCGGACACAGTCATAAGGCAGCCTCAAGGGCTTTTCGGGTGAAGCTTATACATGCTTACAGAACAGACATGGCGGTGGCCATGTGGGGACACTGAGATGCACAGAGCTTTAAGTTATCTCTACTGTTACAGAACCACGTAGTTACAAAACATGGGGCGAGAGAGCCTGACCACCACCATCTTAGCTAACTTTCTTTCCCCACATGCAGTAATTGCTCTCCAGATTCAAGAAAGCCAGGGCCCAAAGAGCTGTGTAAAGAAGTGTGACAATCAGCTACTTCTTTTAAGATAAGAAAAGATATTCAGATAAAATATTTGAGGCCCAAGGCAACAATCCACTCCACTGATTTGTCCAAATTTGTAACATTTTAGTTACCTCAAAGATCCAATACTGAAGATCAAAACCTCTGGGTTATTTGGGGGATTACTTGAAGAGATCAAAAAGTTACTAAGAAGCATTAGAAGAAGATGCACACTTTAGGGAGCACAAGGTCAGGGAAGCTTCTCTCTTCCGCAGGTGCCCTCTGGATGTACCCACGTGTGCACCTTGGGGTTAAGGAGAAGGCAGTTTCACTTGCTGGTTACAGGGCTCTGAAATTGCTTTGGGTTTAAAGCCCACCTAGGCCAGAATCCCCATCACTTACTAGTTAAGAAGACTCCAACCACAGGAAAAATAACATCTAACAATATGACTGATGTGAGAATTAAACAAAATATACGTACAATGTTAAGCAGAGTGCCCAAGACACAGCGCCATTCTCAACTGGTCTCTAAGGCCCCAGTCTTGAATGACACAGCACGTGTGTGAAAGTCACTCAGTCGTGTCCGACTCTTTGCAACCCCGTGGACTATACAGTCCGTGGAATTCTCCAAGCCAGAATACTGGAGTAGGTAGCCTTTCCCTTCTCCAGGCGATCTTCCCAACCCAGGGATAGAACCCAGGTCTCCCGCACTGCAGGTGGATTCTTTACCAGCTGAGCCACCAGGGAAGCCGTGTGTGACAGAGCCAGCTGTCAAGCCAACAGTTCCTGACTCACAGGGCACTGAGATACTGCCTTGTGTAGAATTCACTTGTAAGAATTCTGTATAATAATCAGAATAACACTTACTGAATGCTAAATTCACCAGACTTGAAAAGGTCAGTTTTCATTCCAGTCCCAAAGAAAGGCAATGCCAAAGAATGCTCAAACTACTGCACAGCTGCATTCATCTCACATGCTGGCAAAGTAATGCTCAAAACTCTCCAAGCCAGGCTTCAACACTATGTGAACCGAGAACTTCCAGGTGTTCAAGCTGGATTTAGAAAAGGCAGAGGAACCAGAGATCAAATTGCCAACATCTGCTGGATGATAGAAAAAGCAAGAGAACTACAGAAAAACATCTACGTCTGCTTTATTGACTACGGCAAAGCCTCTGACTGTGTGAATCACAACAAATTGTAGAAAATTCTTCAAGAGATGAGAATACCAGACCACCTTACCCACCTCCTGAGAAATCTGTATGAAGGTCAAGAAGCAACAGTTCAAACCAGACATGGAAAAATGAACTGGTTCCAAATTGGGAAAGGAGTACGTCAAGGCTGTATATTGTCACCCTGCTTATTTAACTTATATGCAGAGTACATCATGAGAAACGCTGGGCTGGAAGAAGCACAAGCTGGAATCAAGATTGCCGGGAGAAATATCAATAACCTCAGATATGCAGATGACACCACCCTTATGGCAGAAAGTGAAGAAGAACTAAAGAGCCTCTTGATGAAAGTGAAAGAGGAGAGTGAAAAAGTTGGCTTAAAGCTCAACATTCAGAAAACTAAGATCATGGCATCTGGTCCCATCACTTCATGGCAAATAGATGGGGAAACAATGGAAACAGTGACAGACTTTATTGTCTTGGGCTCCAAAATCACTGCAGACCATGACTGCAGCCATGAAATTAAAAGACACTTAGTCCTTGGAAGGAAAGTTATGACCAACCTAGACTGCATATTAAAAAGCAGAGACATTACATTGTCAACAAAGGTCTGTCTAGTCAAGGCTATGGTTTTTCCAGTGGTCATGTATGGATGTGAGAGTTGGACTATAAAGAAAGCTGAGTGCCGAAGAATGGATGCTTTTGAACTGTGGTGTTGGAGAAGACTCTTGACAGTCCCTTGGACTGCAAGGAGATCCAACCAGTCCATCCTAAAGGAGATCAGTCCTGGGTGTTCATTGGAGGGACTGATGTTGAAGCTGAAACGCCAACACTTTGGCCACCTGATGCAAAGAGCTGACTCATTGGAAAAGACCGTGATGCTGGGTAAGATTGAGGGCAAGAGGAGAGGGGGAAGACAGAGGATGAGATGGTTGGATGGCATCCCCGACTCAATGGACATGGGTTTGGGTGGACTCCGGGAGTTAAGTGATGGACAGGGAGGCCTGGCGTGCTGCGGTCCATGGGGTCGCAAGGAGTCGGACACGACTGAGTGACTGAACTGAACTGAAGTGAAAGTTGCTCGGTCGTGTCCAACTCTTTGCAACCCTGTGGACTGGAGCCCACCAGCTTCTCTGTCCACGGTATTCTCCAGGTGCGAATACTGGAGCGGGTTGCCATGCCCTTCTCCAGGGGATCTTTCTGATCCCAGGGATCGAACCCCAGGTCTCCCACATTGCAGGCAGATGCTTTTGCCATCTGCGCCACCAGGGAAGAGTAACAGGATGGTTTCAGAGCTAATTTCGAAGCTTTGGTCACTGTGCCAGGGCCACAGGAAGATGCCAACATTAGGGGAAACTCGGTGAAGGGGACGCAGGAACTCCCCCTGCATCTTGGCAACGTTTAGTGCACATTTAAACACTGTGTCCAAGTTAAACCAGTAACAGTAATACAGATACAGCGCCTGCCTCCAAGAACAGCAAGGCTCTCGGAATTGTACACAAGCAAGTACAGCAAAGCGAGCCGTGAGACGCAGGCCACAAGGAACGCCGCGGGCGGCAGGCAGGCGGCGGGGGCTCCCACGGCCGGGGGTCGCGGGCCGGACCGCCGCGCCCCCCGGGCGTCTCGCGGGCCCTCGGCCGTTCCTGGATGACCGCGGCCTTTGGCCCCCCGAGGCCTCTCCGCAGTGACCTCGGCGGCACCGGGCGCCGCGGGGCCGTTCCGGGACCCACCTGGAACTCCAGGCCGTAGATTACGGGCGCGTCGTCCTCCATGCTGCGGCAGCGCCCTCGCTGAAGGCGGGTTCCCTGAGCCGGCGCGCCCCAGCTCCGCTCCCATTCATGCGCTCCAGCCCCGGCGGCGCCTTTCTGAGCCACCGCGGCTCCCGTAGGGTTCACTTCTTGTGTTTTCCGGACGCGTCATTAACGCGCCCCCGTCGGCCGCTGCCGACGAAAGCAGCGCCGAGATCCTGCGCATGCGCACTTGGCTCCATCCGGGCTCTCCGCGGCTGGTAGGGCCGGAAGGGGAGGGCCTGGTGGGCGCGCCTGCCGGGCGGGCTGGGCGTGCGGGACTCGCACTTAGCGGGCGCCGGGCGGCCTGCAGGTCGGAGCCTCCCCCGGTCTGCCGCCCTACGGTTCCCCTAGGGCTCTGACGCGGTCGTGGGACGGCCGGGCGCCGGGAAGCGCTCTGCGGGCGCTGTCAAGTCCTCTGCGGCCCACCAGCCAAGGCGGCACCTCAGGCTTTACAGACGACCGCTGCTCGTTTCGGGGACATTGAGGGGCACAGAGGTGTTCGGTGGAGGGCTCGGGGATGCGCTTGGGCTGGCAGACTCGGGTGGGCTGGGCCCAGGAGCCTCAGGGTGAGAGGCCGGGCTTGCTCATGTCTGCAGGCGCCCGGCCTTGTACGTGGCGCGGCCAAGGGGTCGCACTGCCAGGGCTGGGGTGGTAAGTGACGCCTGACATTTATTTGCCTCTGAAGGGAGTCCGGTGAACAGACTGTGGCGTCTTTGGGTCTCCAAGGACTGTCAACGCTGCAGACGTTTGCCTCCGTCCAGGAGTCCGCCAAAGCGCGTGCCTTGACGTTTGGCAGTGCCTTTGGCAGATCCTGATGCTGGGAGGGGTTGGGGGCAGGAGGAGAAGGGGATGACCGAGGATGAGATGGCTGGATGGCATCACCGACTCGATGGGCATGAGTTTGAGTAAACTCCGGGAGTTGGTGATGGACAGGGAGGCTTGGCGTGCTGCGATTCATGGGGTCGCAAAGAGTCGGACACTACTGAGCGACTGAACTAAACTGAACTTGGCAGACAGCAGTAACATTGCATGTAATCCCAGAATGCCATATGCACATTCTTCAGCACCCTGGTTCCATAGGTTCTAGGGCCATGCACAGTTTCTCCACCAATGTGACCATTTCACTTTCTTCTCATCACTCCTTAATCTTTGTTTCAGGTAAGGAGGTCTGGGATAGGTATATGAAAAGATGCTCAGGCTCACTAACCATCAGGGAAGTGCAAGTCAACCACAGTGAGCCACCACCTCACATGATTAAAGTGGCCATCATCAAAAAGTTAAAGGATAAGCAGCACTGGCAGGATTGGAGAAAAGGGAATCTTTGTACCCTGTTGGTGAGAATGTAGGATGATATATCAACTATGGAAAACAGTATGGGAGGTCCTCCAAAAATTAAAAATGGACTGCCGTTATGATCCTGAAATCCCACTTCTGTGATCCAACCTAAATGAACTATCTTGAAACAATACCTGCACTCCATATTCCCTGCAGGATTAGTTGCAATAGCCAAGATACGGAAACAACCAAAGTGTCCATCCACAGCTGGATGGAAAAGGAGAATGTGTGTGTGTGTGCGTGTGCGCACCAACCAAGGGAGCATTATCCAGTTATCATAGAGACCAATACTGTGACATCAGCTTTTGAGGAAAGAATGAGTTTTATTGTGAGGTTGACCAGCAAGGAAACGGGAGACAGGTCTCAGATCTGTCTCCCGTCAGGGTGAAATTTAAGGGGTTAGGGGAATTTCAGACTTGGGAACTGATTCTCTAATATCAAGTCAGTCTGCTGGAAGCCAGATTTTCCTTATTGAAAGAGTTCTTGCCTCGTAAAAGGTGCCAGTGACATTTCTGTTAGTTTTCATTTGAAAGTCATTGTGGAGACATGGGTTCCCCTTTTGTATCTGTGTAGTGCTATCGGAGAAGGCAATGCACCCCACTCCAGTACTCTTGGCTGGAAAATCCCATGGACGGAGGAACCTGGTGGGCTGCAGTCCATGGGGTCGCGAGGAGTCGGACACGACTGAGCAACTTCACTTTCACTTTTCACTTTCATGCATTGGAGAAGGAAATGGCAACCCACTCCAGTGTTCCTGCCTAGAGAATCCCAGGGATGGCGGAGCCTGGTGGGCTGCCGTCTGTGGGGTCTCACAGAGTCGGACACGACTGAAGCGATTTAGCAGCAGCAGCAGTGTTGTCTGTAAAGTAACTCAAGATTTGGTTAATCAATCATTCTATTTAAGGAGGAAAACTATTTTAAGTTGGCCAGTGTTTTTTTACATGCTTTTTCATATATATATAATGGAATGTTATTCAGACTGTAAAAAGGAAGAAAATTTTAAAAATTTAAATAAAATTTAGAAAAGAATGGGGCCTTATCATTTGTGACATAAATGAACCTAGAAGACATTGTGCTAAGTGAAATAAGCCAGATACAGAATAACAAATACAGCATGATTCCATTTACAGGTGGAATCTAAAAAAATTGAAATCATTGTAAAAGAGAGTAGAAAGGTGGTTATCAGAGGCTGAGGGTTGGGAGAAAGGGAAGCTATTGATCTAATAATACAAACTTTCAATGATAAGATGAATAAGTTCTGGAGACATAGTTAATAATAACGTGTCCTATACTTGAGATCTGCAGGGAATAGATTTTAAATATTTTCACCACAAACAAAAAATGAGTGAGGTGATGGATAAGACCATTAAGTCCATTGTGGCCATCTCACAATGTTTAGATATATCAGCACGTCACGTTGTTCACCTTAAATACAAACGATTTTCGTCAAAATAAATAAAAATATTTTAAATCATTAGAGAATAAGAAGGAAATGGCTGCGTGTGGCCTGGCTCAGCTGTGCTGTGCTGTGCTGGCTCCAGCGCCTGGCGCCCAGCCTGACACTTAGGCTGGGTGATGAACCGGGGTATCTCCGAGGTGACAGCGGAAGTCAAGAAAGCAGAAGCACAGACGCGGGCATCCTCTTCGGCAGCTCCGCTTGCCTGAGATTGAGTTGTGGCGCTAAGGCGTTCAGGATCATACTGCTGGATCAATTCCCCCCGGCTATCATTGGTATTATTATTATCACCATTTTTATCCTTAATGTGATTACACAAGTAGTACAGATGGATGTATTCTCAACAAGAAAAGTTGAAAACACATACAGGCACAAAGGCACAGCCCTGGAAATAAGTATTTCAAGGATGCACTGTCCACGAACTTAAAAAAGGCTTAGCCACTTCCCTCCCAGCTGCCTTCTGCCACAGGTTTAGCTGCCTNCTCCCCGGAGGTCTCTTCCCCCGGGTCTCCGCTGCTCCTTCCCCTCCCCTGCCTTGGTCTCTCCTCCCCGGAGGTCTCTTCCCCCGGGTCTCCGCTGCTCCTTCCCCTCCCCTGCCTTGGTCTCTCCTCCCCGGAGGTCTCTTCCCCCGGGTCTCCGCTGCTCCTTCCCCTCCCCTGCCTTGGTCTCTCCTCCCCGGAGGTCTCTCCCCCCGGGTCTCCGCTGCTCCTTCGTCTCTCCTCCCCGGAGGTCTCTCCTCCCCGGGGGGTCTCTCCTCCCGGGGGAGGGGGGTGGTCTCTCCTCCCAGGTCTCCGTTGCTCCTTGGTCTCTCCTACCCGGGATTCTCTCTTCCCCGGGGACTCGTCTCTGCCCCGCCACCCTCCGGGCCCAGGATGGCCCTGAGGGTCCGGAGCGCGAGCCTTGGGTGCGTGCCCTTTGCAGGGGCGGCCGTTGGCTCCACACCGCTGGAGCGGCCCCCACACTGGGCGCCGAAACCTCAGGAGGGTCTGCGCCCTGGGGCCCCGCTGTCGCACTGTGACTCGTTCCTCCTGGCCGCCTCTTCTGTAGATGAACTGTTCATAGTAACCCGCCCAAGCGGACTCATTGTGGGGACAAAACGCGATGGTCTGTGTAAAGGCCTCTCAGTCTCTATGTAAAAGCTGGCTGACGCTTTCCAGAGCATCACGCAGGACAGAGCTGACTGGAGTATCGATACTGGGCGGACTTGAAAACATGTAGAGCATAAGGCTCAAGAAAGTTCTCTCTATATGCCTGTTTTTCTCACCTAGCCCACAAAAGAGTTTAACCCCAGTGAAGCATTTCCTTGGACTTGCATTTCACACCTTCCTATGGCTACTGGAAACATATTTAAATACCTGTTTCTTTTTGCAAATTCAGGAGGCTGTGCTGTGTGGCAATGAGGTCAGCTCTGTGTAATGGGCTGGGGGGAAGGACAGACGGTTGCAAATAAAGCAATACAGTCACGAGTCCTCACGGTCTGTGATCCCTAACAGGATCTTCACTGTTCCTGGACAGCGTGTCACCACTCTGCTTCATCATTAAAATGATAGTTACTAGTTCCTGTGCGTCCGTCGCTATTTAATCTTCATGATCCCAATCTTCAGATGAGGAAGCAGAGACTAAAGGATTAAGTCATTTTCAGAGGTCACTTCACTTGGTAGTAAGGCCAAGACTCAAGCAGTCATTCCAAGCTCTCCCTGCCTTACCCTCTGCTCTCAGTCTTGACCTGTCTCAGCAGCCATACCAGGACAGCAGAGGCAGAAAAACCTGTGTAGGAATCTCCTCCGTATCCATTGACAACATCAGGCAAATCACTTGACCCCTGCTTTGTGACGGAGCTTATGCTTTGTAAGTTGGTCCTAAAGGCTTAAATATGATAATACATGTAAAATACTTGATCTGTGATGAGTGTTCTCCCCATGGGAGCCTTTCCAATTGTATACTAATTCGATTCCTACCTCTTGGCACAGTTCTTTCATGGAAATATGGTTTCCATTATTGCAATCTGGTAAAAGATTTCTAACTGCAGTCTTGTGTCCAGAAAGGGAGCCTAAAGAGCAGTAGTTTTCATTGTTCTTAGTGAATTTAAATCACTTAAAAATATTTTCAGGCATTAATTAAGCTCGTGTGCAAAGAACTCAAGCAGACAGGAGAAAGTCTGATTTCTTTCCTAGCATTTTGATGCTGGATTTAAGCTTAAAACCACGTCTCTGGTTTTATGTTGTGTTGTGTGTTAGTCGGTCCATCATGTCCAACTCTGCGACCATGGACTGTAGCTGGCCAGGCTCCTCTGTCTGTGGAATTCTCCAGGTAACAACACTGGAGTGGGTTGCCACGCCCTCCCCCAGGGGATCTTCCCGGCCCAGGGATCAAACCCGAGTCTCTTGTGTCTCCTGCACTGGCAGGTGCGTTCTTTACCACCAGTGCCATGTGAGCATTTATTAAATCAGTAGGAGAAGCGAGGATTTATATCTCATGCAAATCAAGGACAGATACATGTGCTTTTCTGTTTTTAAAGTATGAAATGTAAAGCCTGCATGTAACAGACATGAAAAACACAAAGTCAAGTGCAGACCTGGCTTCTGGCACCAGCGTTGCCAACAGCTTAGACCCATGCACTGCCCCCACCAAACCTTTCCTCAAGGCCTCTTCCAGCCCTCTCCCCAGTCCAACTGTGCATTATCACCTTCTTTTTCTGTTTGTATTCCTAAAATAATATGTTGTTTAATTTTCTTGTTTGAACTTCAGGTAGAAAGTCATCGTACTTTTATTTTTCTACCCATTCGGTGTGTAGAATTAGATTTGTGAGGTCCAGATATTGAAGCATTCGCTATAGGATAACTCATTCATTTTCACTGCAGTTTGAGTGTACTACTGTTTCTTTATTATGATATCTACAGGCAGTTGTTTCCAGGGTTTAAATCTTTGGGAAAAGGGCGGTATTTTGTTTGGACTTCCTGTTTATAGCATTCATGGTCACAGCTTATGGTATCCACGTGCAGGAGTTCCTCCATGACACATAAGTAATGGGACCGTATTTGTCTCAGCCAGGACTCTTTTTTTTTTTTTCCCATTGTTAACCCATCTATTTGGTTTTTGGGGTTTTTTTTCCATTTATTTTTATTAGTTGGAGGCTAATTACTTTACAATATTGTAGTGGTTTTTGCCATACATTGACATGAATCAGCCATGGATTTACATGTGTTCCCCATCCCGATCCCCCCTCCCACCTCCCTCTCCATCCCATCCCTCTGGGTCTTCCCAG